GGGGAGGAGGCGGCGGCGAGGACCCGCGGCGCCCGGAGCGCGGCGGCGGCGGCGGAGGTGGTGGCGGCGAGCGGCTTGAGCGCGCGCGAGCGGGAGAGGAGGAGGAGCAGGCGCACCCCCAGCGCTACGCCGACGGCGGAGGTGGCGGCGGCCGTGGCCGCCGCGATGGGGATGAGCGGGGCGGGCATGGGGCGGCGCCGTCGGGGTCACAGGCCATAGGAGAGCGGGCATGGCGCACGACGGGAGCCGTGGGGGGTGGGGAAAAGGGATACGGGACGGCAGGAGCGACGTGGACGCGGCCGCGATCGCCCGTTGGGTTGGGCCGGGTCGCGCCGGCAAGATTTTCTAGGTTGACCCGTTGGGTCCGGTCCGGATGCTGATTCCGAATCGCCGCGTGGGATATGCAGCAGGAGGTGCGGCGAGGTGCTGATTCCGGCGAATAGCCGAGTCGGATATGCCGAGTGAATTGCAAACAAATATTACGAAACTGCAATGCGAAATTACAAGGTCAAACACAACAATGACTAGTGCCAACTGCCAAATAGTAACGTCACCATTCATTGCTGAATTTGTTTTTTCTAGCTCGCATCCGTAATATGTTTTAACTTGGACTTTTATATGGCAATAAAACACCTTCTTAACATCTCGTATTTTTTCTTATTTTTTTTTGAAACATTCAAACATGGTTTCCATGATGTTTTAAAAAATGTTCATTTTCATGTAATGTTTCCCCCTCTGGGTTGGCATTATAAGAGCGGCTATAACCAGACCCTCCATACTCGCCTCAAACGCCCGGATGGGCTGCCCGGTCAGCATCTGGACGAAAAAACGTCATCCAATCGGGTGCCCCTTTTCAGGCTCAAATGCTCGGTCTGACTGGCATTCCTCATATCAAGCCACCATATCTAGGGCAGATATAAGGACGCCCGGACACGCCAGCCGCGTCTCTGGCCCATGCTAGCCCAACCGACCCCACATTAAATGGGCCCTATCGACACTTATGTTTTTTCACATTTTTTTCCTTTTTCCCTTTTTGTTTAAATATTCTCCCTCCGTTCCTTGATATAACGTGTATAGATTTTTGAGAAAAAGTTCAAAATATAAGGTGTATTGCCTTGCACCACTCATTTGGATAACTTTTTAAGGGATTTGATTACATTTCCTTACATAGGGCAAGCTCCTCTATTTTCTCATGTCAATTAGTCAGGTGTAGTCTTGCCCAAAACTTGTGAAATTTTCCCTCCATGTGCATTCTTTAATTTTCGTGCCAAAAACTATACACCCTATATTTAGGAATGGAGGGAGTAATATTCTAAATATATGTATATTAAAAAAACTTTACATAAGACATTTGAAAAGAAAATGTTAATCAAGTATTTGAAAAATGTTAAAGGTGTATAGAGAAATTGTTTCGCATGTATATGAAAATATATATAATGTGCATTGAAAAAGTTGGTCATTTATTTAAAAAAATAATAACAAGCATTTGAAAAATGGTAAGCAAGTACTTGAAAAATATTAAATGTGTATATAGAAAAGTTCTGTTACGTTACAAAAAATATATACATATAATGTGTATGAAAAATATTGATCATGTATTTAAATTTTTTAACATGTATAAAAATTGTTCCTAGTGCATATGCAAAATGCACATTGTGTGTGAAAAAATGTTTATTGCCATCAAAAAATTATTTGTTGTGTATTGGAAAATGTTGACCATGTAATAAAAAATGTTAATCTCATATTTGAAAATATTAAACATATATATATATATATGGAAATAATTAGAAATAAAAAATTACTTTTGAAAAAGGTTAATAATATATTTGAATAATGTTAAATATATATAATATGTTTCCGGTGCATATGAAAAGTGTAGAATGTGAATAAAAAGTTGACATGCTTTGAAGAAAAAATAAACATATAAAAATTGACACAAATCAAAGGAAAACCAAGAAACCCAATAAGACCAAAAGGAAAAAACAAAGAAACCTAAAAAAGAATGAAAACATTAAAAAACAGTAAAAATAGAAAAGTGGAAAGAGAGATAGAAGCAAAGAAAAACAAAGTAAAATGATGAAAACCAACTATATATAAAGGAAACAAAAATATAAAGAAAATAGAGATGAGAAGAAGAAAAACAATGAAAATGAAGAAAGAAACAAAAAACCAAAGATAAATGAAAAAAAGGAAAATGGAAACCAATAAAACCTAAATAAAACAAAGAAACGTAAAACACCTAAGAAACCCGTGAAGAACAAAACACAAAAGAAAAATGAAACGAAAAAAAGCAGAATACAGCGAACGCTGAAGCCAGCGAGCGGGCGGTAATAAACAGGATGGCCCAGTACTTACAGAAATATCAAAAAGGTTCAGGCAAGCCAGAAGCTAGTCTGGCTATAAGTGAGATAATATAACTCTCGTGGTGCAAATCTGCCTCGTGTGGCTGGTGCACGCAGTCGTGCCGTGCCAGGCGCTTCGGAACTAGCAACGTGGCCTCAGCCTTCGACGTCACAGCTGCGTGCACCCAATACCTACATCGAAACTGCTGTGCGGACGACGCACAGCCTGCACGACAAGGAAACGATGGCTAATCCATCCGTTGGCCCCACTTTAGTCATATGCATGGACGGCTTGATTTAGTTGTCGTGCACAAATCGTCTTCAAAACATCGTCTGCATAGCAGTGCTCTACCTACATAGTCTAGAAACAACAATACTACATTCACGGGCTTAATACGGGGCTTTTACCGGGTGGCAGACCTGGTTAGCAATCTCAAACTTTGATATATGCAAAAAAAGCGAGGCTTTTATGGAGTGACTCTGACTTGACAGGTACTGATTGTATCTAGGGGGGAGATTGGGCTCCACCAACCTGAAAAACAGGAAGGGAGGAGGTTTAGTTAGATGGAAGCAGACCGTAAAAGCCTGTAATACCGCGTGGGTTTAGCATTTTTGGTCTAGAAATGCCGTTGGGAAATCACCGGGAATTAGCTGTTGGCCGGGCCAGTGGCGGAGACAGAGGGGACCAGCAGGGCTGCATGCAAGTGGCAATCCATCCATCCATCCAATCTCTAATCCTACGTGCCGATACGGTTTGACCTAACAATAATACTTAATAAAGCATTTCGAACCAGAACACGTGCCGATTTTGATTTGGTGGCAGTGTTGCACGTACATACTCCCTCCGTTCGGAATTACTTGTCGCGGAAATGGATGTATCTAAAAGTAGTTCTAGATACATACATCCATTTCTGCGACAAGTAATTCCGAACGGAGGAAGTACTACCAATCTCATCCTTACACAAGGCCAACGGCTGGCACGCAACGAGGAGTCAACACGCACGTAACAAAAAGCAGATTATGCACTCCAAGTAGAGTACATCGAAGAGCTTGCAAGCAAGTGAATGGCGTCCAGTTCCCTGAACAGTAGTACGAGTACGAACTCGCAGCGACGAATTGCACCTCTCTCTTGATTCTGCTTATTAACAATCGATCTCTACCATCAACTTTACGCCGAGACTGTCGTAGGAGGAGTGCTGCGTTGTGCGGTCTCACCGCCAGTCCATAACCGTGGCCTGCGTTCCCGGCCCGGAGCTAGCCAGGATCATGAATGCCAGATGCTCCCTTTGTAAAGACATATAATAGTAGTGTTTACATCAATACTTTTAGTGATTTAAGCACTTTTATATTTCTTCACGGAGGAAGTAGAAGATGGCGATGATGATGATGATGGATTACCGAGGTGAGGCGCGGTATGTTTGCTTGTTTGAGACAGAGATGCGCAGTTATTCAGAACGTTGTATCCGGACGTACTCCACTCGCCTTCGCCGGGAATCACACACGAGCTCGTCGCCGTCGATTACGATGGCAGATCATGCGCCGCGCGCTTTTCCGGGCGCCTGGATTAACATCTGCTTTGAGCGGAGATGGACGAGCTGCGTGCATGCATGCGCAGCCTGGGCTGAAAATTCTCCGAACGAGCTACTCCCTCCGTTCGTTTTTATAAGGCGTTTCAGACAGCTGGGTTTGAACTGTTTAGTACACTGTCTGAATTTGCTAAAACGTCTTATATAAATGAACAAAGGGAGTAGTAGCTTACAAACGTTGTATGTAGCACTAGTATGTCATGCTCCCGTCCCGTTTGGATTTTGTTGCTGAGCCCAGATTCGGGATCCTACGTGCGTGCGTACGCAACCATGATTAGATGCTCAACTAACGCGAACTGCCATATATACTAGTACTCGGTACTCCGTAGCTAGTTAGCTAGGGATCTGATCTACTGAAGCTAACAGTAACAGGCAGGGCAGATATAGTTAGGCAGGCCAACGGCCGCCGAAGCTGCCAGGAATGGTCTAACTACGTCATGGATAGTAGAAATAATACTATAGTAGCACGCTAAGAGAGAGTGGGTCAATATATTTGTTTACGGAAAATAAACACGCACTCCCTCTGTAAATAAATATAATGTTAAACATGTAAACATGCGGTGGTGTATAAACCGCATGATAGATTGTATATGCTGTTAGCTAGGTTGTTGAGATTGAGTCTTGGAGATCAATCCACGCCGTCATGTAAATCTTCTCTTCTCTGTAACTACCAGGCTTCGGCCCTATATATCAACACGTAATGCGTCTCTGCTAGGTATACCCTTAACCTACTTTCACATGGTATACAAAGCCTACCTTTTCCATCGCATCTAGATGTCGAGCTCCTCCTCGTCCGTCGCCATGGCCGCGCCCTCCATCGCCTCTCTCGGTCACACCATCACGGAGAAGCTGACCCGAGAGAACTTCCTCGTGTGGAAGGCTCAGATCCTCCCGCACATCAAGGGGGCGGGGCTCATGGGCTACCTGGACGGCTCGATCAAGGAGCCCTTCGCTGTGATCACCTTGGAGAAGGACGTCTCCGCCAAGAAGGAGATCACGACCTCGCCGAATCCCGAGCATGCTGTGTGGGTTACCCAAGATCAGCAGATTCTCACGTTTTTGATCTCATCACTTTCCCGTGAGGTTCTACTGCAGATCAGCTCCCACACCACCGCTGCTTCGATCTGGAACGCCCTGCTGTAGAGTTTCTCCTCGCAGTCAAGGGCGAGGGTCATCCAGCTTCGTTCCGCCATCGAACACACCCGCAAAGGAGACATGTCCGCCGCTGCCTACTTCACCAAGATGGTGAGCATCTCCGAC